GGGCAGGGGGGGGGGGGGACCTCAACCCATGTTGACTTCCCTTCCCTGCTGAAGACCTAATCTAATCAACAAAAGAGGATTGGAGCTCCAGCACATGGCCAGCAAGGATAAGTGTAGAGAAAATGAAGAGAGTGACGTATTTAATAGCATTTAGCAACAACAGCTGATATTCAAGTTAAGTATCACGGATTGAATTTTGCTTGGATATCCTGTGCTCTGTTTGTACTCAATTTGTCTGACCTCGTGGCAGAAATTTTAGTGCACTTGTTCCAGGTAACTTTGGCCTAATTTGCTGTCCATGAGACATTTATAAACCCAGTAATTAACACTACGTTGTGACAATGTACGCAGCATGAATACTTCTCTGACAGTGTCATTCAAAATGAAGCATTGACCAGTTGACACTTTTTTGTAAAATTCTGCATGCTTCAGCACATGGCCAGGCTGGTTCAGATTTTAGACATCATTCCAATGATTATTTATTTATATAATGTCATTTCGTAATTGAATCACTGCTCCATATTAAATATAAAATATGTATTTGGGAAAAATAGAAAACCATTGTCATCTGGTGGGGAACTTCCCTCTTGCATGAATGTGGTGGCTACTGTGCAAGGTGAGATTTCCCATAAGGATATTTGTGTGCGTGCGTGCCACATGGGTCCTCGCAGCACAGGTCAGGTTTGTGTTTTGATACAGTATATTGTCTCTCACAGTTTCTCCATGCAAAAACATCCATGCTGGTCCACAAACAAAGCCATGTAACAGCAGAGACCATTGTTGAAACATAATACTGAGTGGAAGGATCCCAAATCCCTTGCTTAGCCCCAAATGCTATCCTCACGTCAGGTGGGAGATGTGCTGCCTCTGGCTTACTCTGGCACATCTGCTCACGTTCTTATCCCCCGTCTTTATTTGCACCTTTAGGCTCTTAAGGTATCCTGCGGATGTGATGGAAGTGGTCAAACACTAATCCCCTTTGAAAAGCATGTACACAAATGCTAAAGAACCGTGTGAAATGTCTGCTCCGATGCGTTTCTGTAATGACAACTAGCACTGTCGGCTGAGGGTGTACATTGCACTGGCGGCACTTTTCCCAACAAATAGACGTGTTGTTGGGTGAGGCTTTAACAAACAGGTAGCACAGTCATTAACCACCTTAGCTGCTCCGATTCAAAGCGGTGTTTCAATGTCGACTCCATGAAAGCAAAACCCGAGAATAAAAGGCATACTAAATTGATGACATTAAATCAACCGAATCATTTTATGCCATTACCTTAACAATTGCCCATTTTTCTCATGCTGATTACTGAGAAATAATTTGCACCACTCTCATTTATTCTTCTTCAAAAGATCTTTCAGATTATTTTTTTGCGGCAAATCTCTGTGAAAATAATTTTTCTTTGTCAGAAGTATTGAAACATTATTACCTGATTTCACAGGAAGCTTCATTAGGTACAATGGAATCCAATTTAAGAGCTGTGAAATAATATTTCCCTAAATTTTGCCCTTCCAAAAATAACTGCTCAGTTGTCATTGGTAAGAGATTTTTATTTAGCTCTCACTATCAGTGGGCGCTCACTATGAGAGATGATAGTTATACAGCCCTACCCACCCCACTGCTGTTCCAACAATTATTACGTGTGATATTTTACGAGCCCCCCCACAAATCTTGTGTGACTTTAGTTTAGTGACTGTCTAAAGGATTAATACATTGCTTTTGTTTGTTCTTAGTTTAGTATGTGTATTTTACCCGATGAAGTATACCAGTGACGGCAATTGTTATTATTTACTTCCTGCCAATGAAAATGAGCGACCACTCACCCCATATTCTACGACAGAAAAAAAACCATCAAGTACTGCTTTCATTACCATGACGACCTGAGCAGAGTTAGGTGGTTCAACGAGAAAAGCGGTTTTACTTGCGGAAGCAAAGCTTCAAATGTGGAAAAATGCAAGCACATGTC